AACTCAATGAATTTTCGTGTAATATTTCTCTCATACTCAAATCAAGTAATTCTTAATCTTTAAGTATAGATGTTGGACCTCGTAATAAATTATAAATTGGTATGCTGCCCTAAATACGTCGGTAGTTCGTTAATCTAAGCGTTAATTAATTTGGAATAATTTAATATTAGATTAAACCAAAGATGGTAACGGCACCAATTCATACAGTTTTTAGTTCGAAAGTAATCCATACTTCACATATGTCTTATAAATTTAGTTCACATCTGGCGCGTATAATTAATTTTTTTAAAAATAATTTTAATAATCTATTTAAGTATAAGACTAATATTTGTAGAATTAATATAAAAGGCATCGATCTACCTTACATTATTGGTAGATTTTATTCCCCAACTGCAATTTTAAAAGTAATAAAGGAAAACTCAAAATAATAAAAAAATTTTAATTCAAGAAAAATTCTTAATTGTTGAAGATCTTGTTAGAAAAATTGGATTATTGGAAATATTGAAAATCTCAATAATCTTTTAAATATAATTTAACGTAATTTATTGTATTGTAACAAACAATAATTTATTCAATCTATATCGTCAATTTTTCGATACTCCAATTAACAAAAATGTAAATAGAAAAATAATTATAACAATAATGACAATAATATTAACAAACCATATCTAGTAGATGTAAGAATTATAAAATTAAATTTTGATCAAATTAACAAAATCGGATACTTGAAAAGAGTTACAATAATGTTCATGTTGTCAATTGGATCGGATTAGACATTTTTAGAAAATTAGCAATATAGATTTCTTGCTTTTCCGTATTCATAGTTATAATATTTTTAATGAAAAGTATTTCATAGAAATTCAAGTCATTGAATTTAATCTGTTAAAAAAGTACGTCTGGCAAGTTTAGTGTATCGACTAACGACAATTTACGACGCAATAGCTATTATTTATGATTATGAAATATATAATAAATCATTATTATTCATTGTTAATTATATTATAATATCATTTACTTTATTTATAAATTCAAAGTTGAGAAAATCCAAAGTAGAGTATGAGTAATTGCAATTTCGGGCGTTTGAATATTTAATGAATTCATGGAAGTCATGTCAATTGTTTTTTATATAATAATGTTTACTATGATCTGTGTAGAATCTACATAAATTTATGAAAAGTCAGAATAAAAATATGTAACCGTAATTTTGGATAAATCAGTACTTAGCTATACCTATCCGTATTAACTTATCTTGTATAAACTCGACAATACACTTTTTATTAATATTTTTCTTAATAAAGAAATATTGCTTGAAATTTCAATGATTTTTTTTTTCAATCTATTTTAAGGAATTTGCTATAGTTTTATAAAATTAATTAAAAATAGTCAATTCGATAATTTAGTATATTCTGCTGAGATATAAAATTTTGGATTTATCTGTATTTTGAATTTTGAAAATTTTTGAAAAATTCGTTACAAATATTCCTAGTTTGACTTAACGGATATTTTAAATTAATTATTTTCAATTATTTATTGCAAAGGAAAACGTTTCATGCAAATATTTTTGTATTTTGTATCTTAAAATTGTGTATTAAAATATTCATTTAATAAACACAATTTGTAATTGTAAAATATGATGCAGAATCAAGCATAGTTATGACATATGAATTATGAAATAATAATACAAATATAAACTTTAATTGAAAACATATTTATTTATAACATTTGTAATTAGATTGCAACCAAATTAATCTAGCTATTTCAAATTTTTAACTAGTATTAAACTGATAGAAATTTCCTGTTTAAAAAAATTCATCCGGGGGCTTATTATTTTAAACATTTTCAATAAGTTCAATAAAAAAAATGTATTATTAAATATCAGAATTATTGATAAAACGAATAGTTTTTACTTAAAAAAATAAGAACATTTAATAAAATGGTTTTGTCTAAAATGCAATTATTTATAGACAATTTAATTAAATTTTACATTAAATTGCACGCCTACGACGATTGATTATATTAATTTTCAAAAGTAATTATTTGATTTCAATTAAATTTGAATTTAAATTTTAGGTTTAACATAAACGACTAATTCTATTAAATATATTGAAATAAATAATGACAAATTAATTTAAAAAATGAAATTTGTACATTCATTAAGAATTATTTGAAAATCATAATTTTATTAATTTATTAAAATTAATAATTAATAATATTTTTAAGCTTTACACATGTATAATGTTATTAATTTATTATTTTCAATTAATTATCAATTGAATTTTAATAAGAAATCCAAATGCTCACAGAATATTTTGCAATACCACTTGTACACAATTAAATACTTGAGAATGTCATAAGTGTTAAATAAGTTTAAATATATCATAACTTTTAAATTGAATTTTAATTATAATATCAATTAAACTTAAATATATTATTATTTAATTATTTTTAAAAATTTGGCTCAAAATATCTCTTTAATTTGCGACAAATATATTATTCGTTTTTTTGTTATGAAAAAACTGTTATGTATATATTTTTTTATTTTAAATTTTAAATACATTATAGTTACCAAAAGAACATGCGCTCACTAAAATGTCTAATCGGACTTCCATTTATTGAATAAAACTGATTATTTAAATTATCGTTACTAATTGTTAAGAAATTTTTCAATAAATAAATATTTTTATAATATATATTTTCATTGAAATGTCTCAATAATATGATTTTTTGAGTTATTTATACAAATATTAATGAAACAGTATAATTTACATGAAATTTATTTTGTGTAAATTTATGTCGGTTGCTCAATCGAATTTAATGATTTACAAGAAATTCATACCAAGCAAATTTTACATTTTAAATTTTTTCATATAAGCGTCGCAGCAGCATAACAGTTACAAGAATTGACGAGCTGTGCTCATCCCATTCAGCGATGTTAATGTCGATATGTCGGTGAAAGTGGTCTGCACAAAATAAAGAAGAAACTCTTGCGCAAGTTTCGTCGATTCATTGCGATTTCTCTCCTTCATGCCCATTTTTAGGGATGTTAATTCACACAAATATTAAGTTATGACGCAATAATGAGTTTTTTTTTTTTTTTAAATTAGATGAATTTTTTTCTTTTAAATAAATTACTATTTCGATATAAGACAAATTCTAAATTATAGAATGAAATAATTAACACACTATTACAGTAATATTAATATATAGAAGTTTATTTGTCACGATTGTAATGTAAAATGAAGTAGATAATAATATTTATTTATGTAATAATATGTAAAGAGGATTTTTGTAAAAATTGATCAAATTTGAAATTAATTTTTGAAATTAATTTCTTTTAAATCGCCGCCTTTTTATAATATAACTAAAGGAATATAGCTAATGGAGACTAACAGAGAAACATATCTAATAAGTATTCGCAAAATTTTGTTTATTCAGCTATAAAAACTTTTGTATTGGTTCGTTGAAGTAGATAAATGAATGATTGTGGTATCCACGTATATCGTATAATAGATAAATACGAAAAATAAATTTAAATTAAAAATTTTCATTAATTACTTGAAAAGTTATATTCTACTTTAAGTAGTTTGATTAAATGTTTAATCGTTACTTCATAATGAAACGAATTATTAATTAACCTTAATATTTTCTGTATTTTCTCTTACTTTGATACTTAAGAAGTTATAACGAATTTTGCATTAACAAGACAATATACTGACCATTAATATAATAACTAGGAGATAATAAGAAAAATTTTATATTGCGTACAATGTTATTCAATTGCTCGATTTATAATTCAATTTATACAGTCTGAAAATGATTCTTCCTTTTTATAAATGATGTATTGAGAAATAATAATTTTAGAAAATTTTTCAATTTTATAAGAAACTGAACGAAAGCATCGGTTATGTACTAATGGCACGTTGTGATTTCAGACTACTAATAATTTATAATCATGCGTGACCTTCAATTTTAAGTACAATTGCGATTTCTTAACTCTTTAATGACAGTGAGATAAAAATAGAACATATCAATCGTATTTTCTTACAAATATTCAATAATATCTTAATAGATTTTTTGAAGAAATATTAGCACTAATTAAGTCTAAAGAGGTAGATTGTAAAAGGATCATAATAAGGATGAAATAAGTAATATTTGAAATTAAATAGATCTTAAGAATGATTATTTTTAGTTTATATTGATTATTCGTGATAAATTTAAAGATAATCATTTTCACATTTAATTATGTATAGTGCTTAATCATTTTAAAATTAAATAAAATCAAGAATAAAGGTTTCGGATTTAAATAAATTTCTAATTGAATTAAAAAATTAGTTCTTTATTATAGTAAAATTAATTGTACTTAAAGTATACTTACTGTCTTATTTAATTGAATTTATTATTGAATTGTATAGAATTTTTATGAAACGATAATTTTTTTTTCCTCGATATAACAATAAAATGAACTATAAGAATTAACAAACTATACTTGTGACAAATAGAACAAAGAAGAACATAAATTATAGTTTAGTTTAAACAAACAATGATAATACACTGATATGTGTGTAATTGTATACTTATGAATTGAGTGAAAATTATATTATGATTTGAGTTTTGCAATTTCTATTACTCATTATAATTCAAATAAAATTAAGAGACAAGATGAGTTTATTATTTTGATGACTATGAAGATATTCTTTATATGGATTTAATTCCACTGTCGGCAAACGTAAGCATATACTTACATAAATGTTCATCTAGA